CAGGGCCTGCACCCCAAGCAGCTGCTCTGAGCCCTCCTGTGCCCTCAGGGCCTCGCTTGGTGACAGAGACAGCCCAGTGTGTCCAGCCCCATGCAGGACCACACTCCCTACCAGTCCAGGGCATTTAGGGCCACATCCCTCCTCTGCCTGTGGGTCCAGGGTCTGGCAGTGCCCTGCAGCTGGACAGGGAGCAGGTGCCTTGTGTTTGCTATGGGTCACTGTCCTCTCAACACGGACTGTGGGTCACAGGCCCACTTTGGGTACAAGCTGCAGCCCCCTCACACCTCCTGCCCCGAGCCCTGATGTAGGGGTGCTGCAGGGCCAGGCCTGCTCTGCCTGCAGCAAAGGAGAGGAACCCAGGGAGACGCCCACAAATCCAGGGCAGAGTGAGTGCAGGACCCACATTTCCACCCAACAGCCCTCGCCTTCAGGCCTCTCTCTGCGTAGGAAAGGACACATATAAAGATCCCATCCCTGTGGGTTCTCCAAGAGCAAATCAGGTTGTGCTTTCTCAACCCCCAGCTGTTCCACTTGTACTGTGCTTTCTTAGAAAAGGAATGCAGGATCCTCTCCAGGTCCACATCTGCTCTGAAGGACAGCACTGGACGCTTACTCCAAGGTCTCTTCCTGGCCCACACGAAGCACAGCACTGTGCAGTGGCCTCTGAGCACCTCAGTCCCTGCTTGCCCACCATCCCTCCCTCTGGGGTCCCCAGTCAGCCATGAACAGGAGCCCCAGCCCTCAGCAGGGTGTGCAAAGCTGAGGGTCTCTCTCAGCCCTCCCTTCTGTTCTCCTGCCCTTTGGAGAGGATCAGCTCAGCCAGAGAAGGTGGAGCAGCCATGGGCACAAGGATGGAGCATTCACAGGTCTGCACAGGAGGAGCTCCAGGCAGCCCAGCTCTGCTCCCTCGCCAAGGCTCCCACCCCCACAGGGGAAAAGGATTGAGGTGGTGGCCCCAAGAAGATCTGGCAGTGGGGGCAAACATCCAGCTGGGTTTCAGAGCTCAGGGACCTCTGCTGGGCTGGGGACAGCCAGGTCCCTCCAAGTGCCAAGTCAGGGCCCAGGGACAGAGCTGCCCTGGCTCTGAGAGGGACAGGCTGTGGGGACACAGCAGCCAGGGACGAGACAGGAATGAGATGTCCCACTTCTGCTCTTCAGCCTGGGCTGGTCTTTCCTGCCCACACCAGGCAGCTCTTGAGGCAAGTGCACAAACATTCCTGAGCCATTTAGGAGGCCCAGACTTGTTGGGTTGAGCCCTGACTGGCCAAGGTCCTGGGCCGGCTCCTGAGGGGTCTGTTCCAATGGGACACCTCACATCCTGAGCCAGGTGGCAATTGCTCCACTACAGGAGCAGCTCTTCGTGTCTATTTTCAACAGCAACCACTCAAAATTCCTTCTGTGTTTGTGAGCTTGAGGAATCACACCTGGAAGGCAGTTTCACTCATCAGTCTCTTAAGTTGGTGCCAATTATTCGCCCAGACACAAACTGCAGCAGTAACCAACCTCAGCCTGTGTCTTGCTTGCAGTCCAAGCCCTGCATTCCCCACAGGCAGGCTCTCCACCGAGCCCCCAAGGTGCTCCAAATTTCATGAGGGTTGCCAAGATGCAACAAGAAGTTTTGGATGAGGCTAACCAAAAGCTACAGCTGGTGCAGGACATCTAACCACTAGGGGCAGGTCAGGCCTGGAGGCAGCTGTGCCAGCCCAGGCTCAGTCCTGCTGTCCACAGGGTCAGCCCCAGTGGTTCTGCTGGCCGTGACCTGCAGCAGGACAGCTCCACTGCAGTGATGTGCATCAGGCCAGCCGCATGGGAGTCGCTCTCAGTCCACCTGGTTGCTGGACCACACAAAGGTGGCTTCAGCTGAGGTCTAGACACAGCAGAATCCTTGGGAAGGGCTGTCCTTGGTTTAAGTGGCCACTGGAGCACACTGGCACAGCCCTAGTCCCTCCTGGCGCATGTGTGGCTCTCCTGATAGCTCATGTGGGAGCTACCTCACCCATCTTCAGAGGCCAGCAGCCACCTCAGCTCCATCCACTTGCCTCCACGTCTCCAGGAGCAGTGTGACCAGCAGCTCAGCAGGACTCGGATCCCTCACGACCTGCGGTGTCTGCAGGCGAGGGGTGGCACTGGCAGTTCTGCTCTGCAGGGCACAGCTGAACGTGTGCCCTGTGGCACAGCGCTGGGTGAGGGCCCCAGCACCGCTCCGTGCCCGAAGGCACACCATGGCTGCTTGCTCCTCACCTTCCATCCTGTGGTGCCAGCCCCCACAGAGCCCCGCTCGGGCCTCCCGGCAGAGCTGGGATCATCTCCCGGACATCTGAGGCAGGTGGGGCTCTCCAGCTCCCAGTGGGCACACCCTGGCACAAGGCTGATTCCTCAGGAAGACCACCTCCAAGATCCTCACTGGCACCTTCAGCTGGCACGACTCCTGCAAGCCTTCTCCTGCTGGGGGGACCCGCTGCTCCTGGCCCAAGACATCACCCAGGTGAGCAGTCCCTCGAGCATTTTGGATTCACTCGGCCCCTGTGGCACTGGGCATCAAAAAACCACCGTGTTCCACCCACATCCTTCCAGGACCCTGCAGGTGGGAGCCTTTTCCAGAGGAACAACCTTGAACAGAGCCACAACCCCTCCATCCTGGGGTGACCCTGACTGCAGGAAGAGCCCCCAAACTGAAGGGATTTTATAGCTCCTGGCAGGGCGTGGCTGCCCCAATTAGCTGGGCCAGAGGGCCAGCAGCAGCTCCTGATTGGCTCAAGGCAGTCCCCCTCGCGCTGTGATTGGTGGGTTGCTGCTGCAGGGGGCGAGGCAGCAGCAGTGACAAATGGCAGCACGTGGTTGGCTGTGGTGTAGTGCCAGGTGGCAGCACATGATTGGTCAGACCAGTGTGTTGCTTGATCGTGATTGGTGGAGACAGCATGAGGGAGGAAGGGCCAGGTGGCAGCACGGGATTGGCTGGTTGGCTGAGACGCCACGTGGGGATTGGCTGGGGCTGGGATCCCTGCGAGGATCCATGCACGGAGCTGTGCCCCAGCCCCGGCAACACCAGAGCACCCCCAGGGCCACGGGGTGGCAGGGGCAGCAGGGCCATGAGCAGGTAGAGATGGGGTGCAGAAACACCAGGGCACGTGGGGATGAGGAAGGGCCATTTTCCCCCTCCATCACCACTGGCTGCAGGGCTCACAGCAGCCCGGTGTAACCAGGGGCTGTAGGGCTGGGGGTCACTCTGACCTGCCCCCACACCCTGGCTGCTCCGTGCCCTACCCAACATTAGCGTGCCCCCCTGGTTGGCTGGGGGCAGCCTTCAGTTTTACCCCACATCAAAATGGACGCTGTGACCCAAGACTGCCAGGTTTTTGGGGGGCTGCAGGGCAGACGAGTCATGCTCTGCAATGGGGACAGTAAGGCCACTGGTCCCCCTCTCCACCCCCAGGCCCTCACACCAGCTTTGTGTGTGCAGGGTCCCCACAGTTCAGCGGCACCTGGAGCCAGCTCTTGGCCATGCAGCTGCAGAAGCTTATTTGAATAATTTGCCTTGCAAATCTACAAGTACCAGCTTGAGTCTTGGGTGAGCACCCATCCCATCACGATGCAGGAGCCACGCTTGGGGCAGCCGTGGTGAGGACACAAGGATGTGGATGTGACTGCCAGCACTGCACAACAAAGCCCCACCCAGCAGCACGGTGACACTGAGGTGCCACTGTGCAGCACCGTTTGCCACTCCCACGATGTCCCATCCCACGGGAGGACTGGATAACCAACGCTAGTGCTGCCTCCAGCCCTGCTTTGGGGCTCCCCTCACCCGGCAGGGCTGGTGGGGCCTGGGCACGGCGGCACTAAACCTGATAAGCTATCAGCCAGCACCACGATTCAGTGGATAATTAGGGTGTAAGTGCAGAGTAAGTGACCTGGCTGCTCCCGGGGATCAGGAGAGGCTGTGACCCTCACAGCCAGTGCATTAAATGCACATTGGTTCCTCTTAAAAAAAAAAGAAAAAAAGTAAAATATGAATCATGCCCCAGCATCTGAACACTGCTGGGATTTCAGCGTGAGAAGAGGAAACGGAGACCATCTGGTGAGGCTTTGGCACAGCCTGGATCAGCAGGGAAAGGGGAGTCCCTGGAGCCAGGGCGAGGGTTTGGGAGCACAGATACAAAGCAGGTTCTTGCAAACAAACTCCACACACCTGGCAGAGCAGGCTGAGATTTTCCAAGCTCCAACACCCTGGAGGAGGGAGGAAAAATGAGTTGGAGGAAGGTTAGGAGCAGAGCAGCAGAGGCTAAGGCTAAGTTAAGGCCATTTTCATTTGTTAGAGCACACAGACAAACCTGAGCCTGTCTCCCACGAGTCCCACTGCCAAACCTTGAACTTGGCACCCCAGAAATTGCTGGGTGACCAGTGCAGGCTGGAGCATCCCCCGGGACCTGTTCTGGCTGAATCCAATCCCTGCTGACACTGACTCCTGCCCCACTGCCAGCAACGCTCAAGCCCCAAGGGAGGGAAGGAATTTACATGGCCTGAGCTCTCCCCACCCCACAACCAGGGGTCAATCCCCTGCAGCACATACTGCAAGGAAGGATTTTGGAGATGGGTTTCTCATCCCCACTACACAAGCCAAACAATCCCCAACAAATTTGGCTGCAGACAGGAGAATTGCTGAGCAAACCATACCCACATTCCCTGTCCACATTTCCCAGTCTAACCCATCCACACCTCTTGCCAAGGGCAGCCAGAGCATGCAGGATCATGCAGAGGCCATGCTGGGGACACTGGTGCAGCTCTCCACAGGAATACAGCCATGGAAAGACTCTGCCTCCCCTACCACCACAGCCCCCAGACCCTCCCCATCAACACTCTGCACCCCTCTCTCTCTTCCCAGCCCAAGTCCAAAGCAAAGAAAGAAAGGAGATAAAGAAGGGAAGAAAGAAATAAAAAACTAAAACAAATGAAAACTAAAACAAAAAGCAGCAGTTGGGAGGCAGCCTTGTTAGGACAACTCAGCAAAATAAAATTCCGGTTTATTGTTGGACAACATTGTTTCACACATACATCAAACAGGCCAAAAAAAAAGAAAAAATAAAAATAAACAGCAACTTCATAGACAGAAAAAAAAAAGAAAACCTTTTTATCTTTGGCCTTGCCACCTCATACAAACCACGATCTATGGTACAGCTAAAGTACATACACAAAAAAAGTTACTGGAATGCTCAGAATAAGATTGTAATTTTTTTTTTTTACAAGGTTTTGTTTTATTCTCCTTTGAGATAATGGTTTGGGCCTGGTCACACCACAAGTAAAGTCAGAGATAGGTAACAAGAGAGATATACACTTCAAAGCCCCCCTTTTGGTCAATCCGAGATCACTTAAAAATGGCGGACCTCCTAACAATATGTACAAAAATATAAAATGTAAATAAAAAATACAAACAAATTCTCCTTTAAAGTACTTTTAAGAAAGAAAGCAGGGCCTTGAAGTTTTGGTGCTCGGGGGGGAGAGGGTTTGTGGGGGAAGGGGGGTTTTTCTCTCCCCGCTAACGGGCGAATCATTTCCATGTTCGTGGAGTGGCAGCGCCGCGCCGGGGGCGGGGACGGGGATCGCTCTACTTGCTGAGGATGACCACGGCGGAGGGGGGAGGAAGGGGCTGTGTGAGGGAAAGGGGGCTGCAACGGGAGTCCCGAGGGGAGACCCAAGGGTGAAGAGGACGCGCTGGCCTTTTTTGTTGGTTTGTTTTCTTCCTTATTTTAAAAAAAAAAAAAAAAAATTGCTGCCTAGTCATCTTCATCGGTTTTCTGCTTCTTGGGATCGACGTCGTCATCCTAGGGGGAAAGCAAAGCTGTCAGGAGAGGGGAGGGGGACTGAGGCTGCTGGGGGCAGGCAAGAATCACCCCGAGGCAGGGGAGTTTGGGGTCCCTCTCCTGCCTCAGGGACAAGGTCTGAACACCACAGGTGTTTCCCTCCCTCCAGCAAAATCCTCTCTCCTCGGGGAGCCCCTGAGTGCCCCCACCCAGGCCTGCCATGAGCATTCCAGGTCTCCCCAGCCCAGGGCCAGGGCTCTGCTGGGCAGAGCAGACAGCCCCCTAACCAGGCCAGTGTATAAACAGAACTGGGCTGTGTCCCCAGAGAGACATGGGGAGCACACAGGCAAAGCATTCCAGCCCTTGAGTTAAGCCCAGCCCCTCTAGCCCCACTGACACCCTGTGGGGGACAAGTGTGGCTCTGAGGGGCTCCCTACTCTTTGTACCTCATCATCCTCAGCTGCCCGTTTGCCTGTGGCTCCCTCAGCTTCGTCGTCGTCATCGCCATCCTCTTCCTCACCTGCATGGAGTACAAAGGGAGGAAATGTGAGACCCTCTGGAGAGTTCCAGTACCACACATCTTCCCTCTGGATTTAATCCTGGCACACCCCCACACTGTGATACCATGTCCCCATCTCCCCAGGTGGCACAGACTCTGCTCAGGACAAGAGGTGACAGAGGACACTGTGGCTTTCTGGGCATCCCCCAAATGACCTGACCCATCAAAGGGAAAATAAGGATTGGCAGCCTCAAGTTTGATTCACACTGCATTTGTGACATGGACAGCGAGATGGCAAAACCACCACCTACCACAAATGCCGAAATCATGGCAAAAATGGGGGGAAAAAAGAGAGCGGAAAAAACTCTTTCTAGTGGCTGCTCTGCCTAACCACTCCAGATTACTTCTGCTTCCCTTCGCAGCTATTAGTCTATCTTTAATGAGTTAAGAGAGCCAGAACGCATTAGTTCTGAGTCAGAACACTTTCTAATTATCAGAACAGCAAACAAATGCTTCCAACTTATCTTACAGCCAGCCAGGAGGATGAGCAGCGAGCTCTGGGCTTTGACCCACTTTGAGCTCAAATAGGCCAGTGGATCAGAACGACTGAGTCAATCACCTTTGGCCAGTTTTGGGGGCTCAGGGGCAAGCCCAGAGGCAGAACAGCTTCTCAGCTGCCGAGACAAGTCTCTTGTGTAACAGGAGACCCTACTGAAACTTAGAGAGTTAAGGCCAGTAAGCTGGCTTTAAACCACTGCCATGAGCCACACGCATGGACAGCCTGGACAGCCAGGGGGATTAAGGTCAGCCCATCCTCCCTTCCCCTCCTGACGCGTGCCCAGCTGCGGTGTGGCCCATGCAGTGGGAAGGGCCAAGATTAGCTCCCAGCAATGGATCAACACCCCGGCAGCCATCACATGCACTGGGCTGGCCAGCAGGTCAGGTGACAGTGCCAAGCTGATTGGGAGCATTTTTAGTTCTTTGAGCTGCTTTAAGCAAAGCAAATAATGAGATGGGATGGAGAGATGCGAGAGGAAAATATACCCTCAAGCTCTCCTCTGCTGTCAAACCCCGGGAGTTTGGCTGCAAGTCTTGGCTAAAAAAGCTGATGCAAGCTGGACTTGCTGCCTTTAAATCTCTCTCCTGCAGTGCTCAGGTGCAGCTCTCAGGCAGGAATCGCCCGAGGGCAGCAAGCAGGACAGAGCCCGTGCCAGCAGTCAGGGCCCGTGCCGGATCCCCGCGAGGCATCGGCGTCTCCAGGCACCGCGTGCCAAATCGTGCCTGTGTGCGGTGAGCTGGGAAGAGCAGGGCTGGCACTGCGGGACCAAAGCTCCCCGGGTTTGTCACAGCAGTATCCAAGCAACACTTCCACCCCACACACGCGCCTGCAGCACAAGCATCCTCCCGGCTCCTGCCTGAGAGGAGCAGGGAGGGCCCGGCATGCCCCATCTCATCCACCCTGAAGAAAGGCTGGGGGTAAATGGGCTCAGGACAGCACACAGCAGTGCTGCATCTGTCCTCAGGGGTTAAAACCACAAGTTAAAGAGGATCACAATTCCCAGTTGTTCTAGTGAACCAATTCCTACTGAAGGGCACAGCAGGCTGCTGAGAGAGTGCTACCCCCAAAGGAGGTGGCTTTCCCAGCTCACACTTTCAGAATAAGAACTGATTTAATGGTCATTAAATTTTCAGCCCTGTCCCTATCTCCCAAAACTAGCCAGCAGGTTAGTAGGTCAGCACGCAAACCAAAAATTCACAGGGGATTAACCTAGTAACAGATAATCAGGGGCCCTGAGTTCATCTCAGCATAACAAGAAAGGTTTTCTCCCAGCCTTAACAAGTGATAAAAATAAACAATGTTATTCATCCAAGCAGATCTTGGGAAAAAAATAATAGCAGAGAGGGTGAGAAGCGATTTTGGCAAGTCACTGCTGCCAAAACCAGGCTGGGTCAGGTCAGAAAGCAGCAGAGGGCAGGGAGACAGAGGACACTGCAGCCACAGAAGGTTCAAAGCAAGCCCATCAACTCCAGCTGGAGGATCAGGTAAGATCTGCAGGTTCCTCTGCTCGTTTCCACACGGCATCCAGCCTGGGAAAGAGGGCTGCTGGGACTTTCAGCACATTACTCCATGAACAAGCACGGGGACACACCCTCTGTGCCTGGGCCAAGGCACGGCCAGGCAGGGCTGTCCCTGTCCCACTGGCCGGCGCTGGTGTCTGCAGCACACACAGGAGTCAAGGGCAGATTTTACTACTCGCACGGAAGGGCTAATGCGCTTATTCCGCGCCGCGGGAAGGTGCCGTCTGGCCCGAGGGAGGAGGAAGGAATCTGCCCTCAACCTGCTGGAAGGGATTCAAGGCTGACTTCACTCCCAGCAGCAGCGGCTCGGGCAAGCGGGGAAGGAGCGAGCCTGGCTGGCGGGAGCTCTGCCCACAGCCGCGAGGGGGAGATGCTGCTCTCCGCTCGCCTCCGCTCCCGGAGCCTGCTGACCAGAGCAACACCGCTGTGCGACGGCGTGGGGGAACAAAAAGTTACCATCACCCTCTTCCTCCTCGTCCTCTTCTTCGCCACCTTCCTCCTCCTCTTCGTCTACTTCGTTGTCAGCCTCCTGCTCTCCGTTTTCCTCGTTCTCCTTGGCAAGACAAAACATCACTTAAAAAAAATGCACTGGGAAAGGGAGAAGGTGGAAGAGACGTTCAGCACGAGTGTGTGTTCCCACCCTCCCTGCTGAAAGCAAAGCACCAGCCCACCGGAGCCCTGGATGCACACCCCGCTTTCTGCCTGCCTCCACACAACCCAGACAGCCCAGGCACAAAGGATCAAGCCTACAGTAACTTGGGGCTGCAGCTTTGAGACAAAGCCTGTGATGGCTCTCATGACACATTGAAATGTGGCACAGTGATTTTCCCCCAGCATGTCAAAAGAGGAAACCAACCAGTTTACTTGTACCATTATGTATTTCCCAGCTGAACTGGTTGTAACATTGTAAAGCCTAGTGGGTTTTAAATTTTTTTTCCTCTTTATCCTTGCCTAGGGAATAGCTGGTACTGGACAGCCTCACACAGCTGTCAGGGAGAGAATCCAAGCCCAGCCCTTCTCTTCTGCACACACATGAACAGCCCACAGGCTGGGAGTGTCTGTGTAACGTGAAGCACCAAAGGCTGAAGGGCTTCTCAGGGCTCAGGGCTGACACTTACAGGGATCCCCTCTCAACATTGCTAGGGACAAACTTGCAGCAAAAGCAAGAAGAGGAGAAAAAAAAAAAGCATTGGTGTACAGACTGCCTCTCCCAGCAGATTGCAGCCATACTCACAGCATTGCCGTTGGCTGGTGCATCTCTGCCATTTTCTGTTTCTTCAACAACTTCCTTCTTCTCTTTTAGATCCTGGAAGGAGCAGAAAAGCAGAGAAGTCACCCCGATTCCAGGTGTCTGGGTCAGAGAAGCTGCAGATCAGGTGTGAAAAACACAGTCTGAGAGCGAGAGCAGTCGCTGGTTTCTCTTCATACAGATTTGTTCTGTGATTTGGTCGCCACGTTCTGGCTCCTCCTTGGGAACGGGAAAACATGGGGGCGAATCTCAATCCAAGTCAGCCTTGCCAGAGCAGCCCTCTAAAAAAGAGGCTGCTCTGTTTCACCTCCGAGCTCCCAAACAGACAGAGCTGGCCGCCTGCATGCATGCTCAACAGCAGCAGAGCTGGCTGATTGCCCATCTTAGCACAGTCCACGCAAGCTCCTGCAATGCCACGGAGAGCCGGCAGCCCTGTCCAAAGGATGGGCTCTGCCATCCTGGGGCTGCGGGCATCCACGGCTGCTCAGAACCTTCCCAGCAGGAACAAATCCCAGGGACTCAATAGCAGAGGCTGTGCTCTCTGCCCTGCCTAGCGAAAATCACACGGCAGATATTACACGCCTGGTCTTTCTCACAGCAGCAGAGAGGAGGCTCCAGCATCCAGCTCACAGCCTGAAGTGTAACAGGATGGGGTGGGGGAAGGAGTCTATTTTTACACTGCTCCAAGAGCCGTGCCTGGCTAGTTTGGTTCAAGCCTCCACCGCGAGCAGAGCGGGAGCTTGTGTGTTTTTGCTATTGATCACTGTCAAAATGTCATGCCAAGTCGCTCAGCAAACAGGCTGAAAGGATCCAACTTTATGTTCCCGCATTAAGAACACTTGGATTTAACACTGGCATCTCTGCTTGCATCCTCCTCCCCTTCTGTTCCTCCATCAACTGGAGCGAGATCCTTCAGCACAGTGAGCGCTACCCCAGCCAAGGAAAGCAGGCAGGCCCTTCCCCAGGCCAGCAGCACAGCCACAGCCGGCTTCAGCAGCAACCATGAGGTGTTTAAAAGTTGCTGGAAGCTCCTGCTCCACTGCGGTGGCTTCTCCCCCTCCTGCCGGCCCGGAGCTGCCCACGGGCAGCGGGCACTTTGGCACTTTCACTCCCGGAGCCGCTGCCTCGTGGGAACACGGCAGGGGAGAGCACGGCCCTGCCAGCATGATCACTGCTCCCTCTGGGAGGGCTTCCACCGCCCTGCAGACTGCGCAGGGGAGGCAGCACAGGTTACTTAAACAGACAGATGCTGTTTCCAGAGGCACCCACAGACTGCCAGCACACTGGGGAAAGACTTTCCCTGGAAGAAAGCTTTGAAGGGGGACAACACCTGTTGATCGAAGCTCACCTAAGCAAACCAACCCAGGAGTCCGGAGTAAAACACACAAGCTCCCTCCTCCTCCTTTCACTGCTCACACACAAATCCCAGGCCACCTCCTCCACACTGCCCAGTTCCACCAGTTTTACACTGTCAGTGGCTTCCACTGCCCTGTTCCCTGGAGACTGATCACAACCATTTGGCCTCTTATGCATCACTGGGCTACAGCTGCTCCATCACACCAGGCACATAGGCACGAGGGCAACAAAGCAGTTCCCAAGTTAAACACAGAGAAAGTCAAGCAGTCAGAATTTCCACTTCTCAATGTGCCCAACAGTTCTTTTTAAAACGAGTTGTTCAAAAATTGCAAGCAATTCTCCCAGTGAAGGAACAACTCATTCTTGGGCATTTTAGCTGGCCAGATCTCCAGCCCTGACCTTTCCTGCATCACTGAAAATGCTCTCAGTTTAACCACTATCACAATGCCAGGTCATGAAGTTTGTGGTAGCAACAGGGTTGCAGAGAGCATCAGATTCCCCCTTTTCCTTTCCCAGTCCAACACAAACAGATATGCACAGGAGCGTCCAGACCAAGGGCCGGTGCAGGCAGCAGGGCTGCTCTGGCGCCAACACTGGGACACAGCCTCTAATTATAGGTGTGTCAGGGCTGTTTGTCTATGGAATGAATAGCAGTAGTGAAGAGCGACATACCACCGGCCCGGAAAGCTCTACCTTCTCCCGGCCCTGCCCTGGGCAGGATCCCCGCGGGAAGCGGGGAAATCGGGATCGGCGGAGGCAGCGCCGCAGCCCGCGCCTCCCGCCGCCAGGGGGCTCACCCGCGCCGCCACGCGCGCGGCCGCCATTCAAACCGCGCGCCACTCTCCACGTCCCGCTGATTGGCCGGCAGCCAGCACGGCGCCCCGCGGGCTGCCGGGAGCTGTAGTCCCGGCGGGGGCGGCGCGGCGGACTCCGGCTCCCAGGGCCGCACGTGGTGGGCGCCCCGCGGCACCGGCCGGGGGCGGCGCCCGGGCGGGGCGGGAACCCCCTCCCCCCCATCCCCGCCTCCCGGGAGCGTTCCGGACGGCGAGGCGGGACGAGAGCGAGCGGCCCCGGTGCCTCCGCGCTTCTCTGAGGTGTGGGGGGGTCACCTTGCCGCCGTGCGCGCCTCCGCCCGCCCTGCAGCGCGGACCCTTGTCCGCTCCCAGGAGCGTGAGCCAGGGACGAGGCCCCTTCCCGCACGCGGTAAAAAGGGCAGGGGAAGGTTAACGGCGAACTTGGCCCCGTTCCCCCGGGGAAGGATGGGGATCGACCCGCCTCGGCGCTTCCCGGCAGCGGGAGAGCCGGAGGCGGCGGGGACCAAGCCGCGGCCGCGGAACGGAGGCAGGGCAGGCGGGATGGGGGCATGGCTGCGGGAGCGGGAAACAGAAGTGAAATCGAAATCTGCCAGAAACGGCGTTTTGTTGGTTGTTTTTTATAAACCCTCCTCCCGGTCGGATTTTTTTTTCCCCCTCTCCAGCCGCGCTTCCCCCGGGAGCGGCGCGACCCGGGGCCAGCCGGGGCGCAGGGTGAGGAGGCCGCCGGGCACGTCCCCCGCAGCCTTCCCACGCACCGCTCCGGCTCGGGTCCCCTCGCAACTTTTCCGGCCGTGGCCCCGGGCTGCGCGGGGCGCACGGCGGCCGCTCGGGGAGCGCAGTCCCCCCGGGGGACGCTCCGCCGCGGCTCGCAGACAAAGGCGTGCGCCGGGAGCCGCAGCGGGGACTCCCGGGAGAGCCTCTCCCGGCTGGTACCGGCGCTCCCCAACCACTTCCCATCACCTCCAGCAGCGACTCACAAAGTTATCCTGGCTGCGAGGAGCTTGGGCCAGGGCCGGCGCCCTCAGCCCCGCCGCCCCAGCGCACCGGGGCATCTCCCGCTGTGGGGGTGCCCCCATCGGGGTAACTCCAAAAATAACAAAAGCCCCCCTCCCCACCCCCCCGGGACAGCTGCGGATCATCCCCTTCTCCTCCTCACCACCGAAACAGTAACTCCCAATACGGGGCAGTATCTAAATCGCAAATGCGCCCCCCCCCCGGTCCTTCCGGGGGGTAACGCCGAAAAAACAACTGTGCCCCCCACACTCCAGGGGCAACACCGCCACAGCAGACGCCCCTCCCGCATCAACCGGGCGCAACTCCGAAATAGCAACCACCCGCCCACCCCGCTTTTCGGCAGCAACTCCACAACAGACACTGCCCCCCCNCCCCCCCCACCCGTGCGTGTTCCGGAGCGCTTCCCCCCACATCCCCCCGCAGGGACGGGGCCGAGCGGAACACAAGTTTGACGGGGCTGTCAAGCTCCCGCACCGCGGATTGAATGAGCGAGCGCTGCCGGGTGCCGAGGCACTGCCGTGCGTGTACCCCCCCGGCTCCCCGAGCCCCTCCGCAGCGGGATGAGCAGCCACTGTCCCGAGGAAAGGCGGGAGGGAGCGGGACGCGGGGCGGCGGGGCTCGGCAGCACCGGCAAAGGCGGCGAGCACGTTTCCCGCACACTGTAGACAAAGGAACGGCGCTGGCAGCCCCGCACGGCGAGCGCGGCGGCACCGGCTCCGCACCGCGCCGCCAACTTCAACGCGAAGGACGGAGGGGGAAGGGGGAGAAACGAGGGGGCGGGACGGGCGGGGGGAGAAAAAGAAACGTGGAGCTGGGCGCGGGGTGGCGGGTCGCTCACCTTGGCGGAGATCTCGGCGCTGGTGTCCACGGCCGCGTCGGACATGGCGGGGGCGTGCGGGGCTGTGTCGCGCGGGGATGCGGCGGCGCGGGCGGGCGGGCAGAACAATGCCAAGATGGCTTTGCGCGAGCCAGTGGGAACTCACGCGGCGCCGCCGGCCCTCTTATAGAGCCGGGGGGCGGCGCGCGCGCTGCCCCGCGCCGCGCCCCATTGGCCGCGCGCGCCGCGGCCGCCGGGCGCCCATTGGCCGCGGCGCAAACAATGGGGCACGGCCGCTTAAAGGAGCCGGCGAGCGCCGCCACTGCGGCGATGAGTTGCGCCCGGTCTCAGCGTGGCGGGCGCAGAGGGGAGCGGAGCCACGCCCCCCCCTCCGCGCTACCTCCGCCCCCGCCGCCTCCGCCCCGCCCCTCCCGCCGTGTGAGGCGGCGGGCGGGAGTGAGGGGGGAGCTCCCGCCGCGCCTGCGGAGGGGCGGAGGGGAAATAATAAGAGTTAAAAATAAGAATAATAACAGTAGTGCCGGAGAACCGGCGCTGCCCTCCCCCAGCCGCGCTCCCGCGGGGTCGCCGGTGGTCCCGGGGCAGCCCTGTCCCTTCGGTACCCTGCTAGCCCCCCTCGTTCCCTGTGTTTTCGGCGCCCCGCGGAAACTTTGGTCACAACAACCGCGGCCGCCCCTGGGGGGAACGGGGAGGGGCGGCCCGCCCAGCCTGCCGCGCAGAAATGCGGGGTTCCCACCCGTTTGCTTATTTTACAGTAAAAAAACCCTACCCAAGCTGCTTCTACTCCCCCCCCCCCCCCCGCAACCTTCTGCGAGTTCTGGGTTTGAAGCGCACCAGGAGCTTCCCAATGCTCCCTATCCGCAGCTCCCCGTTATATACGGCCGTGCCCCTCGCGCCGCGCCCGCGGGCACCGCGACCGCATCGGTTCCCCCTCACACCGCGGGGTAACAGGGCACCGACGCAGCGAGTGAGGGGGCTCAGCCACACTCAAGATGGCGCCGAGAGCCCTTCGTGGGGCAACCACACGGTGTTACCATCCCCTGGGAGCCGCTCCGCCGCCCACAACGGCCCCAGGGGTGAGACAGAGCCGCGCGCGAATGGTCCCCGGTGCGGAAAGCGCGAATTAAGGGGTGAAGGGGTGGGAAAAACGCCCCTCCAGACGGAGCACAGCGGGGCTGCCACACTCAACATGGCCGCCGGACCGAGGCAGATCTTCTCCTCGGAGGGCGGGATATAGGCATCGAACGATGTGCATTGGTCAGCAGCGCCAGGCGAACGCTGTACTGACGCTTTGCGGCTTCTTATTGGCTGAGCCGCCTGTCTGTCTAGAGCGAAGTGGTTTTGAAAACCCGGAGGCGGCTCGGGGCGGAGCTGCGGAGCGGAGTTGACGGCGGTCGGCTGGGGGCCCGGGGTGGGGGCTGCTGCGGGCGGTGGCCGCTGGTCCCGGCTACTAGGAGCCGCGCTGACCCGGGGTTCTTCCCTTTACGGCTTCAGGAGAGCCGTGGAGAAGCCACGGTAATCCCCACACCGCCTGGCACCAGGTGTCGCGGCACGAGGCGTCATGGCGCTGGCGTCCCCTGCCACATCCCCACACGCGCCCGGCGGCTGGACACACAGACGGGGCCCCGTTTCCAGGACAAAATGTCCCTCCCACTCAGCGCCGTAGCACAGCAAACAGGCTGGTCCGTGCCTGGGCGCGCCATGCAAGCGCTCTGCTCCTCAGCCGCCGCGTCCTGCCCCTCGTGGGAGCAGCGCTGAGGAGATGGTGGCGTGGGGACAGGGATCGGGGCCGCAGGGCTCGGCACCGGCACGGCCGAGACCTCACAGCACCTCGGAGTGGCCTCGTACCAGGGCCAGCCACCCCCTGCCCTGGCCGTCCCCCGGCCCCAGGGGCTGCGACCCCACGGGCAACTCTCGCTTTGGATCACAGGCGCTGTCGCCACAGCAGTGCCCCGCTCACGAAGGTCGGGCACTGCTGGCGTTTTGTCAGGCGGGACCTTTTGGAACGATGGATTTCTCGCGTCGGGACCTTTTGGGGATGATGGGTTTCTCACGTCGGATGTCCCGCTCTGACCTGGTGGCAGGACGGGGCGGGAGCGGGGCAAGAGCTTCTCCATGCACTCAGGGGAAGGAGAGGGCTGTGGAAACCGGGATTTCTGGTTGCTTCTGGCTACGCCTCTCGCTTGGAGTGTTCGAGACAAGGGCAGCTGCTATTCCCGGAGACAGGACTCAGTGGGTTTGGGGCAGGTTGCTCGCCGTGCTGGAGGCAGGAGCGCCCTCTGCCACAGCCCAGCCGGGAGCTGGCGGCCGGCGAGTCTCGAAATGTGTTCAAAGAGGAAAGAAAAAAAAAAAACACCCAAGCCCAGACCCCTCAAAAAAATCACTTCTGCTATAACTTGTCTTTCATGCGTGCCTTCTGCTCAAACTAGGGATGTTCCTTCAGGCTTGGGGTTCCCACGTTTCAGGAAGAGTTAAAAAAAGAAAATGAGATGTGGGATATTTCAGGAAGAAAATTCGGAATTTAGGAATCCTCAAGGGATGGTCACACCAGGATCTCACAGAGGACAGGGGGCGGGGGGGTGGTGGTGGGAGGGCTGGAGATTAAAAAAAAAAAAAGCAACCAAGCCTGCAGTGGAAACAAAACTGCCTTAAACCACTCCGCGTCGGAAATCCATGTATAGCCCTCGCTGCCGTCCCTCCGTGCAGCGGGATAAGCGGCGGGCGAGTGCCTGTGCGCGTAAGGCAGCGAGAAGCAGGCTCGGCTCGGCGCTTTGTGCCTCAGCAGTCCAAAAAGAAACAACAGGAACTGTTGCCTGTAAAAGGCAGCTGCTCCTTTACCTCTTCTCCACCCCTCCGGACTGCCAGGGCTGGGGAGCGGCTCCTCAGGGAGCTGAGAGAGAAGGAGGAGGGTGGAAGGGGACTTTGCAAAAGTGCCCGAGCATCGGGGACAGAAGTTTCCAGGGCTCAGCTCTCTCTCTGCCTGGGACCTCGCTCCGTCTGCGGCAGGCGATTGCTTTGGCCGAGGTGCCGGAGGAGGAGGTCGGACTTTTCCCTCCTCGCCGGCCGTTTCCCTAGCTCAGCAAGTAGCAGCCTCTCTAATCCCCGGTGAAGATCATGCTGCTCGGGCGATTATTTCATCGCGGCAAGCTGCTCCTCGGAGGAAATTCTCATTACGCTCTTCGGAGAGGCAAGGGAGGGGCGACTGTCACTCAGCTGCTCTGGAAAAAACAGAGGGATGAGCCTGCAGCATCCCCGGGCTCCGGCGCACGAGACGTGGTAGTGTTTCTAGGTCAGGCTGGTGATGCGGGACGTGGAGCCGGCAGAGATGACATCCTGGCTGTGTCACCTTCTGTTCCTCGATGGGCAAGGGCTGCACACGGGGGCCAGGTTTTCTCTGGAAGAGCAGTGCTGGGGGGGGATGGGGGTGGAGGGCAGTGGGGAGGTGGGAAGGAGGTTCATGTGCGCTCACAGGAGGGAGGGGAGGTGTGTAGAGAACTGGAATCAGCTCATGGTTCCAAAAACTGTCTTTGAGAGACCATGGGGCCAAAGCTCAGACCTGGCTGCAGGAGCCAGCGACTGCGTTTGAGAGCACCGGCTGCCCCAGCCCGGGGAAGGGCTGGTGAGGCCGCCCTCCTCCCCGTGTCCCGGGCTGCTGCTCCTCTGTCCAGCCCCATGAACCACGTAAACAGGCAGGAGCGGGGCCCTGTGGCACACTTTAATTAAGGGATGGAGACACTGACTTTGCCTTTCCCCAGAGGATTGCAAAAGGCCCAGGCGGGCCCCACACTGCAGCTCACGGCCATCCCTGCTCCGACACGCGCTCTGCCCCCCACGTTACAACACAGGGCTCTGACTCACCAGCTGTTCCCAGCCCGCTGCTTCCAAGCCTCTAGACATCGCAGGGATCCCTCAGATGGATGTAGGGAGTCTGTCTCCTCTCAATCCACTGGATGGAGCTGGATGTGGTAGGCAGTACATGGCACAGTCCTTGGGCCTCAGCCTAGAGGCCCAGAGTGAGGACAGCATTCTGGAGGAGTTATCCCCTGTGACTGAAGGGAAAGGGAGTGTGACCTCTCCAGATCCTCTGACCCCAGCAGGCAATGACACCCTTGATGCTCACGGGCTTCTCTGCGGCTCTGGGAAGCCACTGCCCTATCTGGCTGAGATGTGGGTCCAAGGCAGTCCCTTATCTGCTGCACGTGGGTGCTGTCAGGAGCCAGGGCCAGGTAGAGGGGGGCAGTACACCTCAACACTGCTGCTAATCCTGCTCCTGGCTACAGGCAGAGTGGGAAAATGATGGGGGGACCAGGGAAGCCTCCAGTTTGGGATGCTGGCTGTTCCAGGGAGCCCACAACATCAGGAGTGGATCCAGCATTCCTCCTGGCTGCCAAGGGCCAGCACTGCTGATGTCATGACCCAGGCACCAGTACTCACATCCCTGTCTTTCCTTGCCTGTGTGTTGGAACAACCTCAACTCATCCTTGAGAGACGGCCAGAGCCCCATGGCAAGGTTTAAAGGCAGGAAAGCTGATTATTGCCTTTCTCTCAAGGGAAGGGTGAGGAGGCCACTGTGGCAACATGCTCCTAGGGCCTGGGGAAGAGACCTGTGTTCCAGGGCGTGGGCTCTGTGAAGCTGGAAAACAGTTGTTTCTCTCACATTAATGTTTTCTGGTTTTCCCCTGGTTTGAAGGCTGGTTGTGACTACGAGCTGTGGCTCAGACCCAGAGCAAGGGCCTATGGCATGGGGTTTACACACCCACATCCCGCCCCAGGCCTGGGCCTTTGGCCAGAGACAAGGTTTCACTCCTCAGGGCTTCCGTCCCACTGCTCAAATGATGCATGGAAGAGATTTAAAAGGAGAGAGGAAGGTGGGAGGGAGGAGGCGAGTCAAGATTCTCTTCCCTCCCTCCCTCTTCTCAGCGCTTTGCAAACACGGTATCTTTGCAATGTCTGCTGGAGGAGGGAAAACACCTCCCGCACGTGCCCAGGGCTGGATATGTGTTTGGGCAGGGATTGCCCCATGGTGTAGCCAGCCCCAGGCACATGACCCTGATTGTGCCCTACTCTCTGTCCCCCTTCCTCATGCTGTCCCCAGCAGGACACCACCCAGAGCCACCCCACAGAAGTCCCCACCCAGCCAGGGCCACCTGTCTGCCCCAAGCTGGCCCTGAAATGTCAAGGGCTACCATCCTGCAAGGACAACTGTGGGGAGCCACCACTCCTTCGTCTCATCCCTCCTTGGTGGGTTAGCACACCTGGGAGAAGATGGATACAAAACGCGCACGCACACACTCACAAAACCAACCCCAAATCTGGATCAGTATCAGAGAGAATTAATTACTGGCTCATGCATATTCAGATGAGAAACTCAGCTGAACCTGGCGGCGCCTTGGGCGGCCCTGCAAAGGAGAATTCCTCTGGAGAGATATAAATCACCTCTCCCTTCTATTGCTTTCCCCGTGGAGCGCTACCTCCTGGGGAAGAACTGAACCTTGATTTCCTTTTCTTCCCCTCCTTCTTCTTCGTTTTCAATCTGCGCGGGGCCCCTGTAATTACAATGGGCTGCTTTAGGGCTTGAGTTATTTATTGGGTAACAGGGACACACCTACCCAGCTCCAGCCGCCTGCCTGCCCGCGTGTCACAGCTTGTCCTGCCTACCCAGCAGCGCCTGCCGTGCCGTGCCGTGCTGTGCCGTGCTGCTTTAGCTTCAGACAGCACAGGCAGCAGCAGCAAACAGGGACCACCAGCCTTATGTGATCCACTAAAG